GCTTATTGGAGAGCCCTCCATTCACTGTACATCCACGGATAATGTAAATGGAGACTGGAGCGGGCCTGCCCCTGAATGCAAAGGTGATGGAATCCAATTACTGTAAAACAAGTGGCAGTGTGCACGTACACATTAGCAACGTAAGTCGTAACAGTGCCACTGCTTAACAGATTGTCCCCAGGACTCCTAATCTTATTCCCACCCCACAGCACATGTTCTTAGTAACACCCATTGGAGAACAGAGCCCAGTTTGAGATTTGGAGAGACGCTAAGGGGTGCAGGGAATTACACTTATTGTGTCCAGATTGGCCTCAGTTCCCACGCACCCTGCCAAGAACTGCTGCCTGCTTTCTTGGTCTGCCCATGCTCTGTGTTCTAACCCCTCCCTCAGGCAAGGAGCCAGGAAGCTAGAAGAGGCAGTTGGTGTCAGTATGGGAGGAGGAAGTGACATGGAATCCTGGAAAAGCTCCATGTGGGGAGACAGGCTGGCAACCTGAGACTGACTACTCACACGGAGGAGAGCCGGACAAGGTCTTCTGCTTCTCAAAGGGAGAAGCTGTGCCAAGACAGGGGATGGAGCAGGGCTTGGAGCTGGGTGTGGAAGGAGAGGAGAAGGAGAAGGATAGAGAAGTGGAATTTATTCAGCTTCTGTCCTCACTTAGAGTCCTCAGAAGAAGAATACTGGAGCTGATCGAAATTTTTTCAACAACGTTTTTATGTAAAAAAAGTGCTTTTTTGGACAAAAGCAAATTGTTTTGTGAAAAACTGTCAACTTTACTAAAAATGTTTTATTTTGTATGTTATTGTTTGTAATGTTCCCCCCCCCCAAAAAAAGAAACCCAAACAAACTCATATAAAATATTATTGAAGTGGCCATGGAACTTACTGAAGACCCATTTTATGGGTGTTTTTTTAAAAACTGGTCATATGTTTGATAAGACGTATGTGGGAAACAAATCTAATTTTTTGCTCACTCTAGAAACTATTCCTGTTGAAGTTTCTGCAGGTAAGCCAGGAGCATATCTGCATATCTTCTTCACAGGAGACCAGATCTGAGTGTCTGTCCGCTATAAGTACAGCTGGAACTCTGATTGGAGAAATGACTTTATAATGTCCACAAATGATAAGCAACAAGACGGGGCAGTTCCAACAGCTCCTACTGCCCAATGAGACCTCTCTTGTCAAAGATTGTAATTATGTGTGTGCATGCTTTCTCTCTCCCCCACCCACCCCAACCCCATAGCCCCACAATTGCCTGTGACAGAACTGCCATTGCAGGTAGTCACTAATTCAGCAGGTGTAGTTTGATACTTTACTTGAGTTAAGAAAAGGCTAGATGAAGACTAAATCTTGCCTACTAGGTTCTATCAAAACCGCTGCCCCTAAGGAATTTGAGAACATGGCATCAGACCCACTGATACTTTCCTGCTTTTCCTTAACACGATGTTTCTAATAAATAAATAGGTGGTTTCTGGGGTGGATTTGGCGGGGACAGGGGCAGGAGTGTTCAGACACGTCATGATATCTCTGCAGGGCCATGTGTATGTGCTTTCAAGTCTGTTCATATCCTCTTGGTAAATAGATCTGATTCCACAGAAGTATCTTCACTTTGGTTCCCAATTTTGGATTTAACAGTAAACCTCCCAAGCTGACACTGTTTTTCTTACACAGTCGTTCGCTGTGAACAGCCAAGAGTTGACCATGGAAAACAGATGACCGGATATAGTCCGGTATACACCTACAGAGCCTCTGTTCTGTTTGAGTGTGACCACCGCTACACCCTCAAAGGCAGTAACGTACTTCAATGCAATGAAAATAGTAGATGGGATCCTCAGTTACCAGTTTGTGAGCGAAGTAAGTGTCATATGGTGACGACCACCTCCCTCAATCTGACCCTGCAGCCCTTGGTCGCCCAAGATTCAGGGACAGCCAGTTTGATGTCTCCTTTGTTTTAAGAGAGGAAATAGTGACTGCTGTGTAAGCTTGCATGCCGCTGTGCTGACACAGCTCCATGATACTTCGGTTAAATGACTCGTATGCTGAAAACAGGGATTCGAGTTTTATTCTATTGCAGGCAGTGTTGCTCAGTGGATAGAGCACCGAAGTGGGACTCAGGAGACCTGGGTTCTATCCCTGCTGAGTGACCTTGCGCAAGTCACTTCCTCACTCTGTGGCCCAGTTTCCCCACACATTATATAAGTTCTTATACTGCACTCATCACCATAATATCTCAGTGCCATCCAGTATTGCATTAAATAATGTAACTATGCACCTAGCATGTGTTTATTTTGTTTTGCTTTTTTCCTCTCATCCTCTCCTCGGGAGAGAACCATGTGCAGTGGAGTTTCTTATTTTGTGATAGGGTTTTAGGTTTTGGGGTTGTTTTTTTTAATATACATGTCTTTCAAGTCACATTCTTGTAGAGAAGAATTATTTCTCAATAAGATTTCCTGGTTATGTATGTCCTTAAACTTCTATTTTTATTCTTAGGTAGCTGTGATGACCCACCTTACATTCGTAATACTGTTCAAGATCATTCTAACGGCAACTTGTTTCCGGCTGGGACTGTAGTGAAGTATAACTGTGTGAGAGGTTATGAGTTAATCCCTGGAATATCCTCTGCGAGTGTTACCTGTCAAAAAGATTTTACATGGTCTGAACATCAAGAATTTTGTCGGAGTAAGCATATTAATCTTTGGTTTAGCTTTTTGTTTTAATGGAGGTACAGAATTAGCACAAATTTAGGAAGCTGTACTCTATAGTCGATATGTGGTTCAAAGTGTGTGTGTGTGTATGTGAGAGAGAGTGTGAGTGTGTCTTCTGGGAATTCTTACTTTAACAATAGGAAGCAGGGTCATAGTTAATAGTTTAGTTTACACATTCATGAACAGATCTGTTGTTCCCACCCACAATCTCCATATTACCTAAGGCAGATTATAATCAAGGTGGATTCTACACAAAATTTATTGTAACACAGCAATCGGTGTTTAGAACCCTGCTGAAATCTTTTTGACA